CCCCCCCCCCCCCCCCCACCCAACCCAACATGCTTTGTGACATGTCGCGGCCCGATGTGGGACGGGGGCAACACCGCGGCATCGGGGAATACAACGCTGCGGCAGTCCCAGTAGTAGACGTGCATGGCAGTGCTTCGCCTCTCAACGGTCATCACACGGCGGCGGGGGCTGTGGCGTCCTCTCCCGTTGCCGCAGAGCCGGCACCGCCACCGAGAGTTGCCGACGACATCGCGGCGATGAAAGCTCTGGGCAAGGAGGGGAAGTGGCGAGAGGCGGTGGCGGTACTGTCCCAGCTCAAGGAAGATGCTTCGGCAGCCTCCAACGGTGACGGTAGCGACCTCGCCCCGAACCTGGCGGTGTACAACGCGGCCATCAGCGCGGTGTCAAGAAGCGGAAAGTGGGACGAGGTACGGGAGTTCGATGTAGAAAAACATACGATCAAAACAAGACAATAATACCCCGTTCGAGATCATACCACAGCAGTCGAAAGGAGTTCGTCCAGAAGCGTGTCTGTGGGGGGGAGGGGGGGACTGCTTGCCATGTGTCATACGCGCTTGCCCTTCTGCTAGACCGGCACTCATTTGGACGTGCCCGCTTGATCTCCAAATAGGTGTGTTTCCTGGCGCGTCTGCCTTTTACTTACGTTGTAGCTTGATTTTGGCCCATCTGCCTGGACAGAAGAGGAAATACCCATATTCCCCCGGGAATGACTGTGAAGGACTATGTTGATGCTCTTCTGTATTTATGTTTATTTTCATTTTTTTGTTTTACCTTTCCGTACGCACGGCTCTGCTGTGCCTGTGTTTTATTGCCCTCTCTCACCTTCGCCGGCTGCTTGGTGTTTCCCATCTGCTGTCGTCGCGGGCGCAGGCGCTAGGTTTGCTGGAGGAAATGCGATCGGCAGGCGTCCAGCCCGATGTGGTGAGTGCTGTTGACGGGAACAAGAGAAATACGTGTTGTTCTTGCTACTGCTGCCGCTGCTGCTGCTATCTGAATGCTTAAGCGCTCTGTTTGCGTACTGCCGCTGGCATATTGTGTGTAACATAAGCCAACGCACACCCTTACTCAACGAATCCGATGTTGTACATTTTTTAGACACCAAGATGTCTGATATACTGGGGCCGTGTCTTCTTGTGCCACATGCATACGATACACGTCTCTTGTCTCCGAACCCATTGAGAAGTGTCCAGCGTGGTTCGTCACGGACGCTAACCCCTTGCACCACCCCGTGGTAACATGGCCCTTGCTGCTTCTCCACTCCCCCGGTTATTTAGAAACCCTGACACAGAACCCCCCCCCCCGGCCGCTTGTGTCACCCTCCTCCACGCTCGCGTGTAATCAATCCACCAGAGGACATTCACGAGCGTCGTCTCTGCGGGATCCCGGAGCGGGAGGGTGGACCTCGCCGAACGGGTGCTGGACACCATGCGAGCGGAAGGGGTGCCTCCCAACGCCGCCACGTACAACGCTGTCATCACCGGGTGCTCTTGTGGCCCGCCGCCGCCGCCTCGAGGGGGCAGCGGTGGTGGCGAGGTGGAAAGGGCGCTGCGGCTGCTGGAAGAGATGGCCGCGGACCCGAGGCCCGAGGCCCAGCCGGAGGCGCTGAGCTACACGCTGGTGCTGAAGGCGTGCGGGAGGGAGGGGCGCTGGGAGACCGCGCTGCAGCTCTTGACGGAGATGCAGGTACGACTATTTAGCTCGTCGACGCCTTCACTGAGTAAGAGCTGCTTCTTGTTGGAGCTGCAGTTTCATGTCAAGGAGGCCTAGTGTTTGCCGTGGGCTCCGTTGTGGTGCTTTAGCTTCGACCAGCACATGTGTTACCCTTGATGTTAGTTGTTCTTTTTGTCAACCTTCTATGATATGAAGTAGGTGCGAGCGAGCCCCCTATTGGTAAAAAATCAGCTTCAACCAGCACACAATGTTATCCCTTGGTGTTTTTTTCAGCCACCTTCTAGGCGCAAACCCCCTACTTGTATTGCTATGTAAAATGTTTTCAAGGCCATCTGTTGGCAAAATTGACGGGTTTTTGTGGCTGCAGCGGAGATGCAGCAGACACATCGACGAAAAAAGAGACGTGGTTAGTTTGCGTGGTGCCCTCGAAGTACACGTGGTGAGTTCACAGATTCGACATTTGTTCCAAGTGGCTATGGCGATGTACTTAGTGATTCACGGGCCGCACCCAGAACATGCAGTGAATGGCCAGGGCCAAGGAAAGAAGAGGCACGCGGTGATTACCGGGCCGGTTGCGCGTCTTTTGTCGGACAACGCCCCAAGCTTGTCCGTGCCAAACCACTTGTCTGTTTTCGAGCCTCTTTGAATGTTTTAATGTGAAGTGAGAGGAATAATCCACCCCTTTTTGGACGGCGGCAAAAAACGGCCAATCCGTTTCAAACACGAAGCTCGCACGCATTATCCTATATGGTATATATCGCACGAGTGGGTTGGATTGAGCGCGACATGCAGGTAAACACATGCCTTACATGGTCGAGAGACTGACCTGACTGATTCCACGTCACTCCTGCTCTGCTGGAAATCGTAGGTGCTAGCTAGTCGCATATCACCAGAGGTGAATACGTGCAGTACCACCGTTTGTCTGACAACGGCCTTACGGCACCGCCGAAACTTAACAGTCCTCGAAAACAAAGAGAGTTGCAGCAACGATTCGACTCCCTCGCTCGCCCGTCCCGTTCAAACGTAACCTTAGGCGAAGGGTCTGGAGCCCACCGTGTTGAGCTTTCGGTACGCCCTAACGGCTTGTGCCAGCAGCAGCAGCAGCAGGGGGGTGTCGGGCGGGAGTGGCGAAGAGGACTTTGCCGGCGTGTGGGAGCGCTGTCGTTCGCTGATGGACGCCATGGGCAGGCTGGGCCTAGAGCCGGACCGGCTGTGCTACAAGCAGGCTGTAGATGCCGCGGCGAAGGTGCGAGCGCGCCGACGGTGATCGACCACGTGCTGCCACTGTACTGCCTCAAGGAAGACCACTTTTTTGGTGTTTCGTTGTTTCGCTGCATTCGTGTTGCATTTTATGCCATCGGCAGCGCGCGGCTCCTCGTTGAATTTTGTTTGTATTTTTTTGTGCGATTCGCTTTGCGGGTGTTTCTTCTATGGTGATCGATCGCGATGAAAGCTTGACCAACGAAAAGAATGTCGGTCTTGGAACATAGCGGGATAAACAACGTGAACACTTGTTCTATAATAAGGCGCTGAGCCCCCTGGTAGGGTGCGCCGCGGCGGAGACAAGACGAGAAGACACAACTCCACCGTGTAGCACTCTTACGCGGCATCTTGTCTCGTGAAAGGCAGCGTTATTGTCCTGTGGTTGACTGCTCGTGGGTGGGTTTGTGTTTGACCTGGCTGTGTCCGTGTATCGAGATAGCTGTGATCGAACACAGATGGGTAGGAAAGCAGGTAAGGCGACTCACCGAAAATATTGGAAGTACAGAATAGGGCCGGGCATCCTTCTTGTACGCGCTGCACGTCTGGTAGCATGTGGTATTTTTGTGGAATGTTTTTTTTTACCACTACATTGTATGCTGGTGTTTCAACAATTCATTGTTTCAAGATAGCGTCGTCATCTTGAACGGAGAACAAACATGCGTGAGGTGAGGGACGGTTTATGTTAGAGAGGAGTACCCTAACCCAACCGCTTCTTCCCACGTCTTGTCTTGTTCCCTGGGCCTCTCCACAGGCTGGTGATGTGGGCGCAGCGCTCGACCTGATGGATGGCATGGAGAATTGCGAGGGTTTCAGGGGTGCCGTCGAATACAACCAAGTGAGCCCCCCCCCCCTCCGACCCCCTTACGACCCCCCTCCGCCTTCCATCCCCGGCGTTAGTTTTGTCCGTGCATGGCTACCACATTGATGCGACCTCCCGCGTGCAGTAGACTATGTGCGTGTTCTTCCGCATCATGGAGGTCAACCCTTCATGACGCTCTGGTGGCTGCGCACCCTGACTCTAATTGCCTTTCAAGCGTGTTTGTTGACAAAAACGGCTTCATTGCCGCATGCGGCAGAAGTTGTATCACAAAACCCTGGTCTGACTTTCAAGGCTCGATCACTCGACTGCAGGAAGAGTGGCAGTGACCAAAATGGCGGGATTGTCCCGTCGAGAGCTTTCCGACAACGTATCGTTTGATTTATGGTACTATGTCTTTTTGGCTGTGGAGCAATCGAGCTTTGAAAGTCGATCCAGGGGCTGTGATATCTCACGTCATGTACTGCTACGGTACTCCCCCCGAGGAGGTACAGTATTACCGTTCGCCTGAGTCCGCCTCACCTCCATGTGCGTACCTGCTGAGCCCCTCCGTCCCGCCGTCGCCGCACCGCTATCGTCCGCCCTTTTTCGACGCGCAACCACGACGCCGAAGATTATCATGGCTTGCGGTCGCAGAGGAGACTGGCAGCGAGCCGTGTCCACCCTGGGTCGGATTCGACGCGCGGGTGGCGCTCCCGACGCGCACAGCTTCGCCATGGCGATGACCGCCTGCGCGAGAGCGGGCGAGTCACGGCAGGCCCTCCGTCTCCTGGACGAGCTGAAGCGCGAGGGGGGAGGGGTGCGGCCGAACACGGTGGTGTACAACACCCTCCTGGCGCTGTGCAGGGGGAAGCCGCTGCGAGGGGTAAGGGGGGGCGGGGGTGGGGGGGGTGGGGGGGGGGTCCCGGCGGCGGCGGCGGCAGCGGCGGACGGTACGGGGCCGAACCTTAACGGTTACGGTGGTGGGGGTGGCCTCGAAGAGGTCAACGGCCACGGTGTTGCCGTCGGTATGCCGGACGGCAGGGCGATACGAAACGGCGTTTCGGTGCCCGGCGGGGGCACCGTGGGCTCGAGGGAGCGGCCGGACGAGCTCGTCGGGACCGCGGTTGCGTTGCTGCACGAGATGACCGTAGGCGGCAGCGAGTGCGCGCCGGACAAGATGTCCTTCGAGCTCGTCATGCAGGCCTGCGTGAACGCGGGACGTCCTGAATCGGCACTCAAGGTGTTCAGGGCGATGGCGAGGGTTGCGGCCGGTGGGGGGGGCGCGGTAGGCGGCGGTGGGGGGGGTAGTGGCGAGCGACGGGGAGGCGGGCGAGGGAGAGCGGTAGAGGTGCGGCCGGACCGCGCCACGTTTAGACTAGGGCTGACCGCGGCGGCGGAGGCGGGGGACGGCCCGGCAGCGGCGGTCTTGTTGGAGGAGATGCGAGATGCTGGAATAGCGATGGACGAGGTACGCATTGCTTCGAGTGACTTTGGGGGGGGGGGGGGTAGAGGAGGAAACGAACGAGATATTCTTCGCCATGGGGTTTTGATGTTACTGTGCGATCGATTTCGTGCTCTTGGTAGAATCACCCAAAGTTATATACGAATATCTCGGTTGTTGCTTTTTTCGTTGTTCCGTTCCATTATTTCCTCCCTTTCGGCTGTGCACTACAATACTCGCGGTTGTACCGCAAGACACCCCCAGGCTGCCGGGTCTCCGCGAGGTAGCTGCTAGAACATCACAGACCCTGTTTGGAAGCGCCTTTCCTTGTCACCGCGGCAGTGTCTCATACCCCTTCCCCCCATCGTTGCATTGGTTTCATCCAGTCGGCCTTCCACCTCGCGGCAACAGCATTCGGGCGCGCGGGCCTCTGGCGACAGGGCGTCCGCGTGGCGGTCGTGGCGGCGGAGCAGGGCATCGCCCTCGCCCCGACCACCCTCACGAGCATCCTCGGGGCCTGCGCCAAGCAGGCCCGGTGGAGAGAAGCGTTGGGACTGCTCCAGGGCACACGCCCGGTCCTACAGCAGGGGTTGTCGTCGTTGCCGTTGTCGACAGGCGCGGGGGTTGTGGCTGGCAACGAGAGGAGGGGGGAGGGGAACGTGGTGGCCGCGTACACGCTGGCCATGGTCGCGTGCCGGAGGTCCGGGCGACACTCGGAGGGGCTCCGGGTGTTGGAGATGCTGGAAGAGGACGGGGGTGTGGGAGACGAGGCGTTTTTTCGAGTTGCGCTCAAGTGCTGCGCCAAGGCCGGGGGGGTCGGGGAGCGGGGCGATTGCAGTGGGGCGGCCGTTGCGGACAGGGTGTTGGAAGGCATGTCCGCACAGGGGATCCGTTGCGGCGTGGAGGGGTTCACAGATATCGCGCAGGTGCGGGGCTCATTGAAAAGACAGAGAGACACAGAGAGATGGGGGGGGGGGGGGGGCCTTCCCCCCCC